CACAGACAACCTCTCGTCAATATGCGTTTTTTGCATTGCATAACTGCAAAAAACGCATAAAAAATTGCCCAGTAAAAAAAAATTTTAGAATTATAAGAAAAACTAAAAAAAAAATTTTTACTCAAATTTTAAATCAGTATTTTGTATGAGTCAATATTCAATATATTTCAAATTAGTATTCATTAGGAATCGATATTTAATATATTTTAAATCAGTGGCTAATATATTTTAGGAGTCAGTATTTAATATAATTAACACGGGTTCCACTCGATAGTCTCATTTTTGGCATTTGTCCGAAGTATACATCTGAACTGCCGTTGTTATTTTTTCCCGAAAATTTGAAAAACAAGCGAAATTTTTGAAAAAGAAAAACAAAGTTTCCCGAAAAAACAAGCAATAAAAATTTGAAAAAAAGTTCCTCGTTAAAACTTACAAATTCGATTTGCGCAAGATTTCGTACAAGTGCTTGGAAAAGCATACAATGATGGTATGGGAATGCTTGAACAGCATTACGAAGGAAATGTTCTAGGCCCGGCCGCACTCGATCCGACCGTTCCATTCTGAGCAATTGTTTAGCATAATTTTTGATTAATATTTGCCCATCTCGTAGCTCATTTTCCAACAATGCAGTTTCAACTAATTTGCATGTCTCTCGGACAGTGTACAAAATAAGCCATAGCTTTAGTGACATTGCCTGGAAACGAAAAGGATGTGTGAAACCTGATAATTCAAAAACTTTTTTAGACCCAAATCTCCGGTAAAAAGAGAATCCATTCCTTAGTAAACCAAATGAGGATGTTTTGTCTTGGAAAATAGCTGAAAATTGATTTGTTGTAAAAAGAAAGTGTTAGCAGCAAGGAAACGAAGACGGTGGCTAAAACCCCTACGCCTTGCCGAGTTGCCCTTCGGTTCCCTGTGATATGCCAAATGTTCCGTCTCCTGACTCGAGTTCCCCCACCCTCCCCCTCCCGTGATGTTTAATGTGGTGATTTAAAGTGAAATGTTGATTGTTTTGTGACTTTAAAGAATTGTGTGACGGCAGCTTGGAGCTGCTGCCGGGTTTTTCGCAGTTTTTATTCCTTTTGTGAGTGTTTGCTTTTGTACTTGTACTAATAAAGTCTTATTTGCTGTTCGGGGCGAGGGCCATTCTACAGCCGCTCAGGCCTCCGGCTGCTCTCTTCCCGCGCGTTACATACTGTCTCGATCCCAAATTCACTAAAAGCATGCTAGACGATATTTGACTTCTGGAAAAAGCAATTTAATATTTTTTATTAATACCATAATTAACGGCTTAAAACCGTACATGCTTAATAACAAGAAGAAAACCGCTCGGGGAGATTTTTCTTGCGAATAAGTGCAAAAATGTGAGATGATTTGATCTTGCTTAATTTATGATTTGTCGGTATTACAGTCACCTAGACTTGCGGCCTCTCCTTCAAAAGCACTGTAAATTGGTGTACTGAATTTTGTTTTCCTGGCTAAATCCACTGTACCTGTTGTAGAAAATTTTCCGAAAATTTCAGACAACAGAAAAAGTTTTTCATTTTCGGAAGCCAGGAAAAATTA